TCCATCGGCCGGGCGAGCTGGGCTGGCCCCGCCGGCACCCCGGGGCCCCGGCCGCTCAGCCCGTGGAGCTCCCCCAGGCACCGCCTTCGTTTAAGGAGAATAAGCTCGTGTTTGGGGAAGATGCTCCATTATTTTGCTTCGCCAAAGAACGGGCGGAGCGTGGCCGGGGCAGCACGGGTCACCTTGTCACCCAGCCCCGCTGCGAGAGCGAGGGGGCTCCGTCCAGAAACGGTCTTCAGTCCTTCTTTTGTTCTGGGCGCTTTATTCTTTTTTTTAACAATGAGGAGAATTTTTTACAATTAAATGTCGATTTCGGTGTTGACTTTAAAGTCACTCGTTACTGACCGAGACCATCAGAGGCACCCGGTCAGCACAGCAGCTCTGAACGCTGCGCTTCCGTCAGGCCAAGCAAAGACAAATAAAAAAATCAGTGGGGCAGGCTCTGATCGTACGCTGTTTTTCTTGCCAGCTGGTTGGGTTTTAGCTGGTATTAATAGGTTTAGCTGCCGCCCTTTTGTTAAGAATAATTCAGAGCTTCCTTGTTACCGGGGCCATGACTGGGATAGCCTGTGTTTGCCCATCTGTAAAACAGTGGAGACAAAAGCTCGTATGACTGAAACAGCAGCCGTCACAGGGCTGTAAGATGCTAAAATGTAGTAAAAAAAAAAAAATCCCAAATATCTGCTCAGTCTGGGGAGGGGGCAGGAGGGAGAAAACCAGAGGGATTTTAACAAGCCTGCTTGTTAATGTAAATACTTTGCTTTTTCTTCGTCACTTTGGTCAAAACTGTTTCTGTGTTCAATGTTTGTAAACCCTAACGCTGCACTCGGAGCAGGGCTGTGAGGGGTTTGCTGGGTCAGCAGACCTGCCCCAGGGAGGCTGGCGAAGGAGAAGGAAACCGAGTGCTCCCAGACAGCGCAGGTAACCCCCAGGGCTGAGGAAGCCCCGGGTTTCTTGCCTGGAATGCTGGCGGGGGGTGGTTTTGTGCTGTTTTCTTTTTTAAGAGTCCAGCGAAACCGTGGATAGGCGTTTGGGGCTCCTCACTGTCCATTGCCTCATCACCTGGGGCTGAGGGCTGGTAAAGCCCGCCCGGTGACAGCGACGGCTGAGGAGTTGTTCCTGCCCCTTGGCAGTGCTGTGGGATGGACGTGTCCCTCAGCAGCTGGGAAGCCAAGGTGATGATAGTCTCGCCAGGAGAGAGAGTGAGATCTTTTCATCAAGGGTAAAGAGCTAATTACGACAATTGTTCCGATTGGACCTGTTATCTGTCAGAGGTCCTGTCCTTCGCCTTACCCTTGTAATGGGTGAGGCACCCTCGCGGTTAAACCTTTGGCCAAGCTGTTCCGAGGTACTGACTCACTGCACCGAGTACAGGCCTCTGGTGGCTTTGCAGATGTAGTTATTGTCTGCGTGTTTGCTGATTAATTAGTGAACAAACTCCAGCGTAGGCTTTAAAGCCCATCGATGCCCCGTTTTGCTCGGACCCGTGGAGGCGTCCAACACCTGCTGTCTCCAGCTGGCGGCTCTTCAGCCTGACGTGGGGCTGGAAGCTGCCGAACAAAAGGCTCGGGTGCAGCACAGTCTGGATACAAACACACGCATCCGCGTGAATTTTGCAAGCACAGCAAAGCTCATGCAGACTACCAAGGAAAGAAATGCAGTTCCCCATGCAGGAAAACAGGATCCGCTGGGCTTTACGTGACCTGCCATGAACACAGTCCACACATAGACTCAAAAGCCCAAAGTTGTCTTTTATTTTCCGTTTGCCGAGTAATAGGGAAAAAATGGAGCGTGGCTTTACGTGGAGCTCTGCGGGACAGAGGAAGCCGGGTGGTTCTGAGTTGTCTGCAATACGAGGAGCGCGTATGTTGTTCTTTTCTCGGTTGCAGGCAGCGTTCTTGCTGAAAGCATCTGGCCAGCTGAGGTTGTCTCAGTCTACCTGCTGGGTAGGAAAGTATTAGGAGTGTTCTAGCAGAGTCTCTAGAAGCTAAAAAAGAAACAACTCGCTTGGTATCAGCAGCCAGCACAAGCTAGGCATCCAGTCTCTGAAGTGCTCCTGCAGTGACTTCTGTTTGCAGATTTTTGGGTGTCTTTTGACTTTTTTGTAGCCCTTTTACTGGTGGATTAATTCACCATAATCGTACTTGTAGCAAGTTAGTATGTGAACTTGAGTGCCAATTTTTTAAACAAGTCATTCAAGCACCACGGAGTGGTAAATGCGTGATACTAAATGCCTCCAGTTGTGCGTGCCTAGCTGGTAGGTGCACTGTTTTAATTAAATGCATTGCCTGTTTTACCAATGCACGTACTCCCCTCCACCTCCCAGTTTTAAGCCTGTCTGCTCCATCCCATCCACGGTGATGGTCAGTAATGGTGAGCGGTGAATCACCGCGAGCGCGTCCTGGCTGCGATGTGCCGCGGGGAGCAGTTCTAAGGCAGCCACGTCTTTACTCCAGACTTGCTTACTGGTGTTC